GATTCTGCGGCGAGGAGAAGAAACCGACGAGGAAAACCGCCAGGCGTCTGGCGCCGGACGGCGTGGGCGGGAGTTCCCATGGCGACGCCGGCATCCCCGACTCCTCCCACGACGACGCTAACCGGTCCTCGCGGCGTTTGGCGAGCGCCTCGCGCCGTTTGGCGTGCTCCAAACGCCACGCCTCGTCCAGGCGGGCCGCCACCAAAGTCCCGGCGCAGAACGCCACCCACACCACGTTGGTCTGCCGGAACAAGATGGCGGCGGCGCCCAGCATGGCGGCGACACCGTGGCAACCGTGCAGCGTCATCAGGTAGGAAAACAGCACGAAGAAGGTGGAGCCCGCGTCCGTGTAGTACAGGAAGGTGAAGAAGTAGAGCACCGGGAACATGGACAGGATCAGAGCCAGAAGCACGCGCCCAAAGCACGCCGCGCCGCTCTGCGGGAAGGAGATGGAGGGAAAAATAAAACAAAATGGCGGCTGGTTTCTGAGGCCTGGTAGAGAAAACAAACCGGCTGGAACCGGCAGGGGGCTTCAGCCCAGATCTCAGACCCAACAGCCATCAAACATGTCCTCTGGACTCCCATAATGCACCTCTCCTCCCTCTGGACCCCCATCATGAACCTGTCCTCCCTCCCATGATGCACCTCTCTTCCAACCCATGATGCACCTCTCTTCCCTCCCATGATGCACCTCTTTTCCCTCTGGGCTCCCATGATGGACCTCTCTTTCCTCCCATAATGCATCTCTCCTCCCTCCCATGATGCAACTCTCCTTCCTCCCATGATGCACCTCTCCTCCCTACCATGATGCACCTCTCCTCCCTCTGGGGGTCTCCCATAATGCACCTCTCCTCCCTCTGGTCTCCCATAATGCACCTCTCCTCCCTCTGGCCTCCCATCATGCACCTCTCCTCCTCTATGCTCCAGAACTGAGCATATTGTGTTAATATTTTGATAATAATGATATATAAATATGATTTAACAACTACTTATGCTTACATTTTAAAGTTGAAACGCATTTAGCCTTTCATTGACTTAGTTTGTTGTTTTTTAGTTTTTAGCTTCTCTATTAGCTGCTAGCTAGTTTGGGCTTTTATGGACCCAAAAAATGGAGCAAAAACTGGAAATGGAAGCAGATATTGATGTAAACTGAAGATATTGGGTTAATATATTAATAATAATGATACATAAATATGATTTAATAACTATTAATGCTTAAATCGTTTAATATAAGGGCAAAGTTTAAGCTCATTTAGCATTTCATTTACTTATTTTGTTGTTTTTTTTGTGGATTTGTCTGGTACTGGTGTCTTAAAGTGGAAAACATCCAGCTA